CGGGGCTAAGCCGGGGCAGGCCTGGCTGGTTGTGTCAGAGCAGTGAGAGGGAGGGGGATGTGCTGGGCTGGGAGAAGGGGAGGCTGGATGAGGGCAAGGTTCAGGGGCTGGGAGCGGGGAGGAAGCTGAGCTGGGCTAGTGGCTGAGGAGCTGCTGCAGGGGAGGGGGAGGCCTTGCTGAGGGGGTGGGTGAAGGAGGGTCACATTAGAGGAAGGGAAAGGGCAAAGGAGTGTACGGAGGAGTGGGAGCCCCAGGCCTGAGAATGGAGCTGAGGGGGAGCAGAGCCACATGGGTGGGGTGGAAGTTTTTTTTTTGGAGGAAAAGGAAGGGAGATGAGGCAGGAGGCAGTGTCTGCAGCTAAAGGAAAACCCTAGTGTGAACTCGTTTCCCTCTTAGCCCTAGGATGTTTGCTCTGGTTCCAGCAGTCGGTGGCCTGCTGCTCGGGCAGCTGCTCATCTGCAAGTCTCAAGCGCAGCCAAGGCAAGCTGTGATTTGCATGGGTGGAACTGCCTCTGGTTTGGGGCAGGATCAGCATTGCAAATTGTAGCTTGCTTTGTTTACACCACAACTTGGGCGCTGGAGTTTGCAGCTCTAGCCACCGGGAAAATTTGCCTGAGTTTCGCTTTGGGTATGACATTAGCTTCCAATTGCTGTCAGAAGACAAGGGCAAATAATACAGTGCACGCACACACACACACTTAATAATTGCTCTTTTTTTTTTTTTTTTTAATCAAGAAGTTGTCACAGTTTTACTATGTGACACCGAACAGGTGCTGTGAACTTACATACGTGCTGCCTATCTGAACAAATTGGGGTATTAAAGTGGTTTGGAGTTAAAAGCTCACTCTGCAGATCCATGCTACAGCTAATACTTAAGACAGTAAAACTCCAGAGTTGCGTTAACAATAAACCCCCAGCAGTGTGATCTGGTTGCTTTTGTGTTGCCTGACATTCCTGCGCTCTTGCACCCAACCCCCTCTTGGGCCATCAGGGATACCTGAAATCTTTGGGAAACTTATTTCCCTACTTTTTTTTTTTTTAATACACTAGATTAGGGAGTATTCCCAGTCCTAGTTTGTGCAAGTGTGCAAGTAGTGAAGCTGAAATACGAGATGCTCACTGCAGCGAGCAGTCTTTCCTGAGAGGGACCGGGGGAGTGTCTTGGGTTTTTTGTAAGGCTGCGTGGGTGTGCATATTAAACTGAAATTCTGCTGTGCTTGGCTACCTTGGGGACCAGTTATAATCACTGGGCAAATATGCTGTGTGTAGGAGAAATACTTAATTTCATGAAATTTGTTGCTTTGTGCTGGATGCTAGATTTTGATTGGGAAATATCAGTCAGTGAAAGCAGAAGGCAGAGCAGAGCTTGGCAGAGGCGGTGGATAGCTTTAAACAAAACCCTCCTCGTTCAGGGACTGTGATGCTCTGAGGATAGTTTCTTAGGGAAACGGGATGGAGGTGGAAGACTGGGGCTGTCCAGCTTTCTCAGATTTGACAGAGCACCTGGAAAACGTAAACGCCACAAGCGATTTGTTAGGAGAAATAAAACCTCCTAAAAGTCACGGGGTTTGCAAATCTCTCGAGCTAAGGAAAAGGAACGATTCGTTTCAGAACGTGAACAACAAACCTGCCAGAGCAGTCATAGTCACCAAGGGAAAAACATTTGGCTAAGGAAAAGCATTTGTAAAGCTGCTACTGAAGGAAGTGTAATAAGAAACGTTTAAAAACGTTTAAAAAGCCACTGCCTCGGTGATTTTCCAGGATAGCCTCGCTAACACTGAAGCAGTTTCTAGCTTACTGTTGTGCAGAGCCCGAGACTGTTCTGGTCTTCCCGGATGCAACCATTTGTACCCAGAAAGCTCCAGGTACCACATTAAATAGCAAAAGTGAGAATTCCTGCCCCCGGATTGCAGTTTTTGTCATCCTAAAAGCTGAGGGCTGTGCAGCACGTGTCAGTTGGCTCCATGAAGCACCCGGTTTTCTTCTGACCTGGCTCTGGAGAGAGCAGCCCCCGAAGCACCCGTGCCCCGGCTCATAAGAGCGTTGCTGGAGTTCATGCTCCAGCCCTGGGGAACCGCATTGTCTGGAGCTTTTGGGAGCCAAGAAGTTGCCAAACCGAGTTTGATTCAGCTGCTGTTCTCTGACACTGTCTGTGGTTCTTAGTAAATCACTAACAGATAATATTTTCATATTTTGGCTCTATTCATGTCCCCTGCTTTCTGAATAATTACCTTGTTTTGTGCAAGCCATGAGAGGTTTTCACAGATAATTCATCCAGCGCTGAAAGGCAGCCAGCTTTGGGGCTGGAGCACATTTACTGGCCACCTGGCATTGCTGCACAGAGGTCTGCGCTGGAGCGCAGCTGCCTCTGGAGGGAAGTGCAGTATGTAGGACAGCCGAGGGCAGGGAGAAAACCAAACCCAGCTGAAAAGCCTTCCTAAGAGAATAACCTACTTAGGGCTGCTGTGGCAAACTCAGCCCACCCTGAATTTCCAGATGTACAGCGAGATTGATCCCCCTCAATTCTGGATGCTCCCAAAGAGAGTACATTTCACTGCAACAGAATACCTCTGAAGAGTGGTTCATGGGGACGTGCTGCCTTGCATCTCCAACCCGGCTTGCAAAACCCGGCCAGCGTCTCTTTGCAGTGCAGCGTAGCTGTGTGCCGGCTCCAAGGCACAGCAGAGAGCTCTGCTGCCCCATCTCGCCCCGTGGCAGCCCCATGAGCTATGCGGAGCTGCAATTGTCCCAAGGTTCCCAGCCCTCTTATGACATCCCCATCGTGGGGCTGCCATGGCGGCACAGGGCCGATCCGAGGCGGCCGAGGAGGAGGGGCTCACAGCCCGGCTGGGGGCAGGGGACCCGGGCAAGGGGCTTTCATCAGCCCAGCGAAGGGGAACCGATGTACTGGGGAGACCTGCTGGCCCTGCCTGACCTAGCGACACCATCACCTCTGCTCTGGGGAGACACAGCAGCTCTCTCAAAGGTTGAGCACCATGCTGAAGAGATTGACGATGCCCGCACTGAGACGACCTGCGATCGGCATTGACTTGGGCACCACAAAGTCCTGCGTTGGTCTCTTCCAGGATGGCAAGGTGGAAATCATTAGCAACAAGCAGGGCCTTCGCACCACCCCTAGCTGCGTGGCCTTCACCGAGACAGGGCGGCTGATGGGTGAAGAAGCCAAGAACCAGGCAGCCCTCAACTCCCCCAACACAGTGTTCAGTGCCAAGCGCTTGCTTGGCCAGGCATACGAAGACGCAGCTGTGCTGAAGGACACAGACTTCTGGCCCTTCCAGGTGGTGAAAGCTGAGGGGAATTCACAAGTGCAGGTGTCCTACAAGGGAGCAGAGAAGTCCTTCTTCCCCGAGGAGATCTTAGCCATGATTCTGGGTAACCTGAAGGAGATGGCTGAGGACTACCTGGGACAACCTGTCACTCATGCGATCGTCACTGTGCCAGCTTACTTCAACGACTCCCAGCGCCAAGCCACTAGAGATGCCGGGGTAATTGCTGGCATCAGTGTGCTGAGGATCCTCAATGAGACAACGGCAGCAGCCCTGGCCTACAGCCTCCATCACCCCGACAACAGAGAGCGCAATGTCCTCATCTTTGATATGGGTGGGGGGGGCGTCAATGTCTCGGTCTTCACTATAGACAGGGGGATTGTGGAGGTGAAAGCCACAGCTGGGGACAGTCACCTGGGAGGTGATGATTTTGACAACTGTTTGGTGAGCTTCTTCATGGATGAATTTTTAAAGAAGCATCGCGAGAACATCAGCCAGGACAGACGTGCTGTTTGGAGGCTCAGGACAGCCTGTGAGGCGGTCAAACAGACCCTCTCCTCCAGCAAGAAAGCCACCATCAGTGTGGACTGCCTCTACAAAGGGATCAACTTGCAGGCAGACATCACGCGAGCCCAGTTTGAGCACCTGTGCGCCAACCTCTTCCAAAGGGTGCTGGAGCTGCTGGAGAGGGTCCTCCAGGATGCCAAGCTGAGCCAGACCCAGATAGATGATGTAGTTGTGGTTGGTGCCTCCACTCGCATCCCCAGGATGCTGCAGATCCAGTGCCTGAATGCAGATGAAGCTGTGGCCAGCGGGGCAGCCATTCAGGCTGCCATCCTGATGGAGGGCAGATCAGAGGTGGCCAGAAACCTGCTTGCTCTCGACATAGCGTCTGTGTCAATGGGAATTGAAACAGCCGCCGGGAGGATGCATGGGCTGGTCAAGCGCAACACCGCCATCCCCACTGTGGTGACGCGGATCTTCACCACCTTCCATGACCACCAACCTGATCTCCTCATCTGCGCTTATGAGGGGGAGAGGGCCATCGCTAAAGAAAACCATCTGCTGGGCCATTTCCTCTTGAAGGGCCTTTCCCCAGCACCTCGTGGCACGACCTTGTTGGAGGTGACATTTTACATCGACGCGGACGGCATCCTGAGCGTCTTCGCCCTGGACAAGGTCACGGGAAACACAAACCCAATCGCCGTGAATGCCAAAAAGGGACGACTGAGCAAGGAGGAGATCCTGAGGTTAGCAGAGGACCATGAGAAATATCGAGCAGAGGACAGGGCCCAGAAGTGGAAGCTGGCCACCAAGAACTACCTCCAGTCCTGTGCTTTCAGCATGAAGCGGACCTCAGAAGACATCTTGAACTACTTCACACTGCAGGCCAAGAAGAAGATGGTAGAAAAATGCCAGCAGGCCTTTTCCTGGTTGAGTCCAGCTGCATGGCTGAAGAGGAGGCGGTCAGGAGCAATAAAAATGGTCTCCGGGGACTCCATGCGAGGGTTTAAATCCCTCAAAAACAACACAACAGGTATCAACAAGAAAAGATCAAAGCTGGTCATCACCACCTGTAGCTGGACCTTGCAGCTCACCCAGACCACCACCATCATCGACCCCTAGGACATCCTGGCATGGACCTGGCCAGTTTCGCTGGCTGCTCAGCCCCAATTTACCATCAGATGCAGCCCATTTGAACAGGGGACCCCTGCAGAAAATCACCACCCCCCTCAGTAAATCTCCTCTCAACGCTTACTTGCGCGGGTGTATTTATGAGCAACAGGTAATGTAGTTGGCCTGGGATTTTCAAGGGGGCATAAGAGAGTTAGGTGTCAAATCCTCTCGACTTTCACTTGCAGGGGAATGCTTGCTCTCTCTGAAACCACCAGCCCTAGTTTATAGTTCAGTGTCCAGGAACCAAGTATGGGGAGTTCCTACACAGCTGGCGGGCTGGAAATGCAGGGTACACAGACAGCACACCTCTTCCAAAGGGAAGCTTGAATTTATACCTTTAGTCCCTCTTTGCTTGAAGTAAAAAGCTGGGATTTAGGGAGCCTGGAGCAGCACTGAAGTTTGGATGTCGAGGTAGGTGTGGGGTGATTGCAGCTCACCTTGGACTGGGAGCTGTAACCAAGGGCTTGCCCTGCGGACAGGGCACCTCTTTTCAGGTACGTCCTTTGTTCACCCTCTTTTCAAAGAGAACAAAGTGACCTTTTCTTTGAAGAGCCCAGCCATCCTTACCTACTTATTTACACTTGGGAGCCACTGGTAAGACAAACGCAAAGTTTCAGGCCCCTGAAAAACAGCTCCTGAGGGTGCAAAACCTGCAATTCTTGAAGCCGCCCTGTGTGTTCGATGGCAAATTCACAACATCACATATTGAAAGAAAGCCTGAAAGTCAAAGCATGTTTTACTGACTGCAGTGGAGAGAATCAAAGATCTGGAGACCTGGAGTCCCACAAAATAAACCACATTATTCCTGCGTGATGATCATTTCTCTCCGAGACATGAATTCGAGTCAGCACCCCTGCTGAGAATGATTAAAGACCACTTCAGAAATCAGTGCAGCAAATTGTAAAATAAGCAGGTGAACAAGTGAAAGAAAACAAGAAAATATCACGACCTGCCGCCCTCAATCGGGAGCAATCACGTCACCTGGACGGAAGCACGGTTCCCTGGGTGCTGCGGCCTGCGCGTGCTGAGCCGGAAGCACGGTGGGTAACCCAGACAATTCGCTATACAAAATAAGGGTGTAGCCATCGAAGATGCCTGTCCTCAGCTACCAGCACCCCTCGCTGCGGGGAGGACGCAGCCCTCACACACACAAATACAAGACTGGGCTACTGCTGTCAGCTAGATGCGCTGCTCTCCTTCGGGCCCGTTAGACTGAGAGTTTTCCTGGCCAAAAACTTTGGCAAGGCAAATCCCCTGCACGTTCTTGCTACCACCGTGCGGGCGGGTGCTGTCAGCATCGCTCCGTTCCCAGGATGCCACAGGCAGGAGTTGTGACCATCTCGGACAAGCGATGGATGGAGGGGCTGGCAGTCACCCCTGTTGCAGATGCAGGGAGACATCCGGGAATCACACGGATGGGAGCAAAGACCCTTCTCCCCACCCAGCTTTGCTCCACAGGAAGAGCCAGAGGTCAACTGGAAACGGGAAAAGTGCTCCCACGTCCCCCCTTCAAGAGGGGAGGGAAAAGGAGGGGGGTGCTAACCCAAGGCAGGAAGCAGGAGCTCTGCCCCTCAGCCCTAGCGCCGGGGCGTGAGCTGAACGTGGCCTTCGTTATCTGCCGCCCCCAGGGACCAGCCAGCCCCTGGAGAGGTGCTTCCCAGCTCTTTCCTTAGACATCTCCCAGGCTTCCTAGCTACCAGCACGGGGGG